CATCACAGATTGAATATCCTCGTCACAAACTATAATGATATAACATACTCCTACAAATTGAATATTTCTTAAATATGTCTGGCTGAATTAGAGACACGTCTATTTTAGTATTGATATCACAAAATTTTCTTTTCTGTCGAGTTGTCACCGACAGCATGCCACCTAGAAAAGTTGTCTTTTATGTACGGATAAAAATATGAGCCATGTGCTGATAGGAAACAAATTTTTTCTTCTCGCTGGATTAGACGTATAGATCGCTATTTCAGCTGCATAATTCAAAGAAAATAAAAGCAACGCGCTGTATTATATAATTGAAAAGTATTTCATCTATCGATACGATGCCTAAAGGTCATGATTTCTCGCTTGACACGAAGCAAATAATGTTTAATGTGATCAAATTTGTAGAACGTGAGAAAGATGGTTATTTAATTCCGTTGAACAATGTAAATGATTGTATTAAATCTATTCTTGGTATTTCAATGTCGTCAGTTGAAAGACTGAAGAGAGAAATGAGAGAACAAGAAAGAGAGATGTTAGAAAAACAAAACGAATTGATTCAATTACAGAAGACGCTGGATCAAGAAAAACAAGATAAAGAAGATACGGCGATTCGAGCTACTCTTCGGCTTCGAAATCCACGTACCAGATCATCATCATCATCATCGTCATCGTCAGTAACCGCTGCATTCAATTTCACTTTAACAACATTTATGCCTGTTGCTAAATCATCACAAAAGCGTGGTCATTTCGGTCGTCCTCCTATCATCTTGACAGAAAATCAAAAAGAAAATGTTCGGTAAGCAAATTCATCAGAATAAACTGTTTAATATATGTACACTGTTTATAGTTATCACGTTCATCTGATGTTGGCTGAGCGTATCTACCCAACCGTAGATAAAGTTCTCACTCGAATTTTGAGTGACGAACCTGATTTTCCGATCCGTTCGACGTCATCATTATGGCGGTGGATGAAGAAGTTAGGTTTTGCGTATAAAAGAACATCGAAAGTTGTTGTTCCTCTTGATTCTCCGTTCTATATGGCAGCTCGTGCACGTTACTTTTCGAAAATCGATGAACTGCGAAACAATGGAACAGTCGTTTTTTGGCATGATGAAACGTGGTGTAATCAGAACGAAGAAAAAACCTTCGTGTGGAATGATAGAGATACTGGTGCTGGTCGTTTACGACAGAGTAGTGGCAAAGGTACGATTTTTCTTTCTTAAAAGTTACTAATAGCTTTTTTTCTCCACAGGGTCACGTCTTGTTATTTCTGCGTTGATGAGTAATTCAGGTTTTCATAGATCATCTATTGATATATTTGAAACTACTGAAGGAAATCGTATGGACTCATCACATTTTTTGGCATGGATCGATCGTACTGCTTCTCTTCTTCGAAAAGAATTCGGTAATAATCGCTTTTTTGATCCCAATTGTTACGTTTGAGTTTAGGAAAATATACCAAAATCGTTTTCGTAATCGATAATGCTCCCTAGCATAATCGACTGACAAATGACACAATGCCACCAAAAAGATCGTGGCGGAAAGAATATATTATACAATGGCTCAATGATCACAACATAAATGTTCCTGTTAAAGCTGTGAAAGCTGAATTACTTGAGATTGCTATGAAAAATCTACCAGAAAAACGATATGAAATTGATGAAACAGCTAAAAAATACAATGTTGACATCTTGCGGTAAGTTAACTTTATAGCTGTCGTAAATCTTATACATAGTATTTACAGCTTGCCTATTAAACATTGTATGCTCAATCCGATGGAATAGGCCTGGGCAGGTCTGAAGCAGTATGTACGAGATCACAATGTCAATTTTCGCCTTAGCGATGTTCGACACTTAGCACAAGAATGGATGTTGAACTTGAAAACAGCTACAGTTACGACTTACCTCAACCACGTTTACAAAATCGAGGAAACGTTCAAAAGATCCGATGTTTTCACTGAGCAACTCGAAGACGACTTAGTAGATGATGATGATGATGATGGCGATGAACTTGATTCCGAGCTCGAAGAAACAACTGGTTAATTAAAAAAATCTATTTTTTGTTATTGTTTCGTGCTGCCAACTATTGATTTGATAATAACTATGTTCTAATCCAATATACTCAAGAGATATTTAACTTGTAGGATTATGTTATATCATTATAGTTTGTGACGAGGATATTCAATCTGTGATG